TTTAACGGTTTAGATCTATGCAAGTTACCTAACTTCAAATTATACCCAAGTTATGGTAGGAGATCCCTAAAAACATAAAGACCGCAGCTTCAAGCACATACAAGGTTTTCATTTCACACCTACAGTTGCTATTTGATTTCCTTTCATTAATATATACTAGCAAGGACCCGCTCGCTACGCTTCGCGTGAAAATAAGAGGACGCCAATAAGAGATACGACTCATATCTATAAGATGAAGGTTGTTGAAAGCAGATATGAAGCTTTGAACAAACACAGTACAAAACAGGGGCCATTGTTTTTTTGAAAGTGAAAGTAGCGGAAATCACATCTACGGCTTTACTTACAGTTCACTCTTAACAATCCTATTTATAGATGTTGGCGGCATGACGATGCCACAGAGCAACGACTTCAAACCTCTCTTTCACAAAGCGCTTCCGTGGTAGGTACTTGACTTCAAATGTATAAGCATGCTGAACAACAGACTGACAAAGTTTTTCCACGTCAGGGTAGTCAAGTTCACGTTTAGAACTTGTCTGAAGAAGTGCTGCAGCTGCTTCATGACTGATAATGAATGTTGCATTTCCTGTTTCATCAGACACCTCGACTGATAGGTAGAAGCTGACATTGTGCATACAAAATTGTTAGCGGTAGATTGAAGTGTGTTTCGTGCTATTTGTATGTATCTGTGTACCTTTGGATCTTGTTGTCTTCTGCAATGGATGCATAGCAAGTGGAGCACATATCATTTGGCAAGAGTTTTTCTTTTTGTGGGTAACATTCGGGGCATAGCCAGCAGAACCATCCAAAGTCCCAGTTGATTTCCTGAATTGTTGCCAAACACATGGCCCTTGACTGGATATAGAATTTTACATTAAAAGGTAAGTTAGGTGCAGTGAAGATCTGTGTACATATGGAAAGAAATTGTTGATCTTACATCAGGTTCTGGATCAAGCTGCATAGCAAAATAGGTTGCCAGGTCATCCCACAGTTCTGCAAGCGATCGACAACGTTTGTGAGAGTTGACAGGCGTCATTAGCTCATCGGTTCGGTTCTTACTGATGCGATACACCGGCATGTTTGAGTTTGAGTGGCTGCAGGTAATGAAGATGATGTTAATGTATGAGTTTATAAAACCAATTGTTGTACAGGTTGTTTGGCCACATCATACCGGAAAAACATAGGCCGATGCATTCGAAGTTTTTGGTTAATAATAACCCTACTGCTTGGTGTGGTCCTGTAAAGCCGCTTGCCTGCGAGTGAACAAACTTTATTAGGCGTGTCTAGTTACCTGCGGCATGTAGTAACAAACTAAAGTTCGTTTACCTTTCGAGTAGCGACCAGCCATTGCTGTGAAGGTTGCAATAACTGGTCCATTCTGTTCCTGTTCCAAAACTGTCTGCTCAAGCGTTTGGATGGAACAGTGGTCCTTAATTTTGGTTAGGACCTGGCGGTTGCTGCAGTAAAGTAGACTTAGTTATGAAATGTGTAAACAGGCAATGCTGTGTGGACACGACATGTTTGTTTTTGTGGGTACGTACCAGTGATCTTCCAGTATAATAAGCTGACTTGTCGGTTCGGTCGGTTGGTTCGTGCTCCCATAAGGTTTTGAGATAGCTACGATGCGACCCATTATATCTTGCATATAGTGAAATGGCAGCTTTGTTTGATTAGGTTTCACTAAGAAAGTGTTGAGAGACATATGTACAAAGTGTAGCTGACCTGCGTTTTCTCTCTGTACAAACGCTCGGTCCCATAAATTGCAGAAAGGAACTGGTTCTGCCATATCAGTTGGATGATAATCGGCAGGTAGTGGTTCAGGCAGAGCTTGGAAAGTTGTGTTTCGTGTCAGTTGTAGTTCGATGCTAGACGAACAACACTGGCCTTCTTTGCGAGCCGGGGCAACAAAGAACGAAGAGATTCTGTAGATGACGCCATCTCTCAGAGGCACGACTTCTGATCTGTTGAGTGGCGTTTCTATATGCGCAACAACCAACGTTCCCTGTGAATTTGGAGCTGATTGTTATGCAGGGGAATTGATTCAGCACAGGTAAAATAGATTGCGATGGAAGGGTCGGTACCTTTTTGTCCAGCAGGAGATGATGTTCCTCGTTGTTTCTTGAGTTTGCCTGGCTCCACTTATGGAGGTGCCTAACCTCAATCGTGCCATCGTTGTATCCTACATCAAGGCGGCGGATTTCTTGTGGTTCGCTCATGCCTGTACGGCTCTTGGTGCGGCGGCTGTTCGTCCGGGATAGAGTACACTCTGGTGTTGTCTTGACCTAGAAGGGCAAGGTGTAGTTAAGTGGGTTTTTTGTGGTGCCAAGAGGGCTCTATTTGGATTATGTTTGGGCCTGTATATTTTGGGCCGAATTCATTTGTGAGTTGAAAGCGCAATGGCAGATGCTTATTAAAGGGGCCCAAAGAGAAACTGTATTTTCTGTAACTAATACAAATACATTCCTACTCACGTTCATGTTTCAAAAGGTAACAGCAAAATACACCTAGTACAGGAGGGAAAACGAAGTCTCCACTACAGGGTACATAAGATTAGGTTGCCAGGCAGTTTGGGCCAAAACTAATACGGGCTGCATAGCTACTTAGCCTTGATGCCAAAGGCAAGTGCGTCAAACAAAGTGACAACTTGTAATTCTGGTTCTTCAAGTGCATCGTTGAGAACTGCCACAATCTCAGCCGTAAAGGTCATCCCCTGCGCACGTTCTATACATGTGGCTCTGCTATTCTGGGGCAAGGCTGCAAACTCCTCAGCAGGTTGTTGTAGTAGGGCTGTAGCTGCATTATCAGTGAAGAGAAGGTCACGGTCCGTAGAAGCATCAACGCACTGAGCATAGAACCTGAACCTGCAATATGAAGCGAAACATAGTTAGCTACAGTAGGTTACGAAAGATTGGATGCATGAAAGCGAGCATGTGTACCTGTAGTAGTTAGTAGTTGGGTTGTTATCTCCAAGATCATAGTCAGAGTAAAAGATGGTCTGGTTCGTGTGAATCTGATTAATTCTTATCAGGCACCAAACAGATATCTGGAAACATAAGAGTTAGGAACAATTCATGGTGATGGTTATTACACAATTATTGACAGAACATAGGTATACTAACATTGTTTGGACATTTCATTCTTTTCAATCCATGGAGCAGCCTGAGGAATGTTGTTTTCATAGGCATGTCAGGGCATATGAACGTTGGAGTTGGGGTGGGCAAGTGACCAATCCGAATTGGCTGATGAACATGGGCGAACCTAAATGCAGACCGAAAATTGAGAAAAGGCTCTAAAAAGGGCATGCGGAGTTTGTTATTTTTTTAGCACATACATGTCTCGTAGCTTCCTGAATCGATGTGAGTACTGGCCTGGAACGATCCGGGACGCTGGAGTGCTGAACGCTACAAAGTAGCTATTTTCTGTTACAAATTAGGAACAACGTGTAACAATGTTAGCTTATGTATTGCGACAAACTGAAGACCAGCAAGTGTTTATATAAGACCTGGTTGTTTAGTGATCAGCATGCTTGTGAATGCATAGATAACTGGACCCTGCCGTTCCATGGTCGAAAGAACTGGTATTGTTAAAGCGCTGTGACCTTCCGGGAACTTGACTGTCAAAGCACTACCACTGTGGTCCAAGTGTTAGGGCCAATGCATGTCGGTCAAAACAAACAATGCACAAAAGTTAGCGTTTTTCTGTGGTATGTATGCTCACGGATGGTCTTCCATAATTATGGACATTGTACTTTGCCATGTTGACTTCTCTGGTTCTGCAGTAATGCTGACAATTCGTCCAACTACATCTGTTGAATGCAGTTTGTTAACATAATAAATGGTTTCGCAACTATAAAGGGGAAAGTCGGCGTACCTCTTAGTTGTATATCTGAACTGCAATGTTGGTGTAGTTCAGAAAAGCATGTTGGTTCAAATCCAAGCGTTGGGAACCATGGGTACGGGGGAAATTCATGTAGTTCCGTCATTGCTGTTGTTTTCGTGATGGTCAGTCTAAGTGGGTGGCCGCACGTCCGCCTGGAAGTCCTCGCCGTTTCTGTGACAACGGACGACAGTAAGTAGACTGTATCCACGATGAGAGTTGGTGCTGTGTCTGCTGTGCAGAGGAAGTAGCAAGTCCCTTCGATCATCTTTGCCTGGCAAATACCGAAAAAGTAATTTTTTTTAGGAAGGACTGTGGTAGTTGAAAGGACCATGGTAAGACGGGCATACATTTTTATTGAGCCATATGGTGAATGTGTGAGCTGCAACAGACTTGGCCGGGTCCAATTCTTCTTTCCATTTGTGTATTAGGCGTAGAATGATCGGCCGATTGTTGCATCCGAGTTGCAGGGAGTTGATGGGCAGTGCCGTATCCATCAGATCTATAATGGTAACAGGGAGTAATTAGCGAAAGGCGGATAAAAAAATTCACTAAACAGGTGCAATTCGAAAAACAAAGAAACGAAGGAAGTCGATGACCTTTTGGTGCCAACTTGATGTTATACTCGAGAGACATTGCCGCAACAACCAGTGAGTTGTGTTTGCCGCCGGCGAAATGGTTGCAGTGGAGTAGAGTGTATTGTTTGCGCCGCCCTCGTGTGTGGAGTATAGTTTGAGAGTTAGGTTATTCTCCCAAAAGAGGGTTTACTTCGGGCCGCAGCGTTACCTTTTTTTATGGGCTTCCTTAGCAATGGGCTTTATGGGCCGGCTGAAACAGTGGCCATCTTTGTATAAGCAGCCCAGTACGTAGTAGTTCAAAACTTCATAGAATTAGTAAAACGAAAACAGAAAGGGGTTCGTCGCTAGCTGTGATAAGAGATAACTTGACAATTTATATTCGCATTAGATTATATTAATGAATAAAGTGCTGTTGAAACTTGTTCGTCAGTTCACACTGGCAAAATGGTACAGGGATTTGTCTCTTTGCAAAGCTATAGTTATTGACACAACCACCTGGAAAAATGGCACAAAAGTCTTTAAGAACATAATCGGCTTCAGCCTTCCCATTCATGTGGTTTGCAGGGCTGTCATCAAAAGCGGAACTGTAATCAGAGGTTTGTGGTTGCAAGAGATTGTGTATTGGAGCATTACGAAGAGGAACCAACAGCTTGTGTGTGGATTTGTGTGGTGGCTGCTTGATTCATTGGCTGGTAAATCGGACGCAAGAAAATGCAATAAATCAGTGTAAAGCATGGGAAGCAGAGAACTGTTGACTAAAGGAAGGCATTGAACAAACCTGGTGGCATGTGGAGGTATGGAGCAAGATGAACCGCCAAGTGAGTCAAATGTTTCGTTATAGACTATGTTCCTTGTGTATCCTGCTGGAATGTGATCTTCGTTTTCAATAAGAAACTTCAGCCCTTCTGCAGACCTTACTCTGGAAACAGCAACATATAATTGACCGTGGCTGAAAACTGGTTTTGGGAGGAAAACACCAACACGATCAAGAGTTTGCCCCTGACTTTTGTTGATGGTCATTGCATAGCAGAGTCTAACTGGGAACTGCCTCCGCTTAAGTATGAAAGGCCAGTTGCGGTTGTCGATGTTGACAACAATCCTAGGTATTGCGACAACAGAACCAGCATATGCACCACCCATTATCAGTCCTTTTATGACGTAGGTAGTCAGGTATGTGACCATTATCCGCGTTCCATTGCACAAACCTATTTCAGGGTTTAGGTTTCTGAGTAACATAACTGGTGCAAAAATTTTGAGGCCAATCTCATGATCAGGAAAGCCACTGAAAGACAGTGTGTTCAGGAATTCAGGAGGATACTCAGCTTCCAGTCTTTGGCAATCTTTGGAGTCAGAATGTATTGCGTCTGCACTGAAATAGCTGTGTGTTCTGCCGCGCACTCGTTCCAACATATGGTCATTTATTTCAGTGACATTCTTGTTAGTTGGAGTCACAATTGCCCTGGCTGTGAGGTAGGACGCTTGGTGATAGCTTCTTGAGAAGTCTGTATATATGTGATCACATATTGTTGATGTTGGTTCAGAACTGGGAGGGAGCAAACAAACTGGTGGTATGGGGATCCAATCAGGAGGTTGGTCCTTTTTGAAGCTGCTGCCATGAATCTGGCCATTTCCAATGGCCAATGTCCAATCAGCAAAGGTCATGCCATCAAATATTGTCTGCTGGTTAATTGCTGCCGAATTCACACGCATATTCCTGGATAGATGCAGCACAGTACAAAAGTTCCATAGGTATGATCGTGTTAGTGAGGAGTCAACACTCTCTTCCCTCCCTGCATTTGGGACCACTGGCAGCGTTTGTCTAAAATCTCCTCCAAGCAGAACAGTCTTTCCTCCAAATGGTTTGTATCCTTCGCCCGTTAAAGGAACATTCATGATATCACATAGAGTTCTATCAACAGCTTCAAAAGATAATCGATGGATCATCGGTGCCTCATCCCATATAATAAGATCTGCTTCAGCTAGTGAAGTAGCAAGACGTGTACCCTTTCTAATGCTGCATGTTGAAGTCTGATCTATCTCCAAGGGAATCTTAAACCTTGAATGTGCTGTTGATGCATTAGGCAGTAGTGTTGCAGCGATTCCTGAAGAGGCAACAATCATGACTTTACGGTTGAGTTCTTCTACAGCCGCTGCTAAAGCTTTGTACAGGAAGGTTTTTCCAGTCCCTCCATGGCCATATAAGAAGAAAAACGTATCCTCTCCACCCTTGACAGCTGTGATAACTGCATTGAACGCAGCAGCCTGTTGTTGGTTCAAATCTGTGAAGATTGGCGGCTGTTCTGGTTCTGTAAATGCTGACATTTCAGGACTTGCAAGTGAAGCAGAAGGATACGATGGAAGATCCTGTAGAGGTGTTGTTGGAAGTGGAAGACCAAAATGTGACAGTGATGACGAATAAGAACCAAGCATGCGCTGCAGCTCGTGCAAGAGCAGATCCTTTGGTAGTTCAGGGGGTATTAGGTTTCTGTCAAACCGCACAGCTTTTTGGCACTTATATGTGATGTCTTCAGCAAGGAGTTCCCAAGTTTGGCTGAATAGAGTGTGGGGATCCGATAGCTCACAAAACATAAGCATGGAAACAAAAAGATACCTCAGTAACTTGGACATTCCCCACTGGCCAACTTCGTTCAACACCAGCAACCATTCGTTATCATCGGCAAGGAGACCCATTTTTTGGCAAGCTGTCTGGTAGTTCTTGCAAACAACTCCATTGACTGTACGAAGGTCTGTGAAACTCTGAGCACCACGTACTTTTGTGAGAAGGTGTCGGAGGTAGAACGTGTCACCAGAGCCAGGATGAATATAAGGCATTCGTCCAAGCGAAAACCCTTGTTTGCGCGGCGCCCAATCAGCCTCCTTTGCAACCCAAGTAAATTTGGTTGGCGTTTCAACATATAAAAGGGACCTTGCACTTTGGTCTCTTTGATTCAATTTGAACCACTGTGTCAGTGTTGTGGATTCAACAGTAGTCCGAGCAAGGATATTGTCGACACGCTGCCTTTTCCTATATGGAACTCGATGTTGCCCCTCAAGATGAACACACAGCCTTTGAACAGCTGGTGTGCGTTCATGGATTGGGAATTCATAAATCCTCCAAGCAGCCTCGTAAGAAGAGAGAGTTCTGCAGTCCAAGTACTGTTGAATCTCGTTGATTGGCAAGTTTGGAGTTTGCTGTGTTGAAGAACCAATAGTTGCAGCATTATCAGCGATCACAAGCGATCTATCGGGGCCCTTTGTTATATACTTGAAGAGATACTTCACCAACTTGCCTTGGTGACAAACCTCAACGTTGATATGCGCCTGAAAAAGCACACAAAGATTACGATTATGTGGCACAACGAACCTATTGTCGAGAATTGTAGTGCCCTTTGTCGCTGTTATGCCTGTATCTCTGCGACGGTATACTGGGTAGCCAAACTGATCCATTGTTGTCTCTGAGTTAAACGCTTTGGGGAAGAATTTGATGCACGATCCATCTTTCATACACGGCGAAGATTCATTGTCGGTACCGCATGGGCCATGTAGCATAAATCGTGTAATAGTTTCATAGCCGAGTGGGTCAAGAACTGGATCTGGTAATTCGGCTGAAATAGTTGCATCAATATCTGATGTTGAATTGAGCTTGCTGTCCGTTTCCAGCCACACCAATATATGAGCATGTGGAAGTCCACGTTTTTGGAACTCAACCATCTGTATTGCTTTTTTTTTCCACAATTGCAAACAATGTATAAACAGGATATGTGTTAGGAAAGCTGAAATGCAGTGGTCTAGTGTATATATAACCAAGAGTGCACAAATGTAATGCAAGTCACTTACACGCAACAGTTGGACCAAAGTAGTTGTTGCGGTTGATCTCGTCACTAAGTGCATTCAGCTTCATCTTGAAAACCCTTGCCACGATATCTGGCTTAAGTTCACTTCGTGTGCCACAAAGGTCTTTGAAGGCATCTGTGATCTCCGGCCACTGCGAATTGCATGTAAAAGTAATGAAAAGGTCGGGGTTTCCATAATGGTGGCAAACAGCCATAGCATCCAAGTAAAGCTGCTTCATGTATCTCGGGCTGCCAGTGTAAGAAGAAGGCAATATGACGTGTCCCAATTCGTCTGCTGTAATTTCTCCTGCGTCATAAGCTTCCTGTAGTCGTTGGTATAGTTCTGAACGAAGATCTTTTTGATGTGTGCGAAGATATGCAAGGCGGTTTTGTTCAATAGTGGAGAATGCATCGACCATGTAATGCTGCAATGCTTTGCCGCCACGCATGAGCGTCTGTCCCTCTTCTTCTCGGTGCTGTAATCGGTAGGCATAGTACTCTCGTTGTGTAACTTTCTTGCGCTGTAAGTTCGGTGCTGTATTCTCAAGGTGATAGGGAATGTTTGTATGGAAACCATCTTCCCCATATGGGAAAAGCAGTGGGAAGTGCAATGCCTCAAACTTTGGATTGAGACTCGTGATCCTCTTAAGGCCTTCAACACAATGGTCAATAATGATATCACGGTCTTCCTTATCTGCAACAAAATCACCGGGTATCAAGCCAGCAATTTCTGTGCCTATTGGCAGATCATACTGGCGAGAAGAATTATCGCGTGCCCCAACTATTCGCAGGCGCAAATTGCTTGTTGCTGGATCGTGAAGTTCCTGCCGAACCCTCCGAAATGTTTTGACTAAAATGTTGTTAGTATCAAGCATATCCGTAAGGCCTGCAATTACCTCTGGCTTAAGATGTCTATCACCGGAGGAAAAATTTGCCAAGCGATCCTGCAGTTCAGAGCGCGGATCGAAGACATAGAGCTGTGAAAATTTTGGGGGCTGACCAGGGGGTGGAAGCAAAGATCCCATCAGGTGGTAGTTCTCACCGCAAATGACGAAAGAGTACGGGCCTCTTGAGCGAGCCACACGAGGGTCCAATTTTGCGCCAAATGATGTGAAGGAGAACGCAGCATTATAGGATCGGATATGTTCTCGGAAATGAGCAGCAAGAGGACCTCCATTTATACCCAGCAGCTCCTCCAGGTAAGGTGGAGTAGGTTTGAGAAGAGGCAAGCGCACGCGTCCCTTTTGACAGCACAGCGGGTACACTGGCGACGAAGTTTTCTGATGGCGGTTAAGCCTTTCTTGGAGCCAGAATGCCGCACCGCAGTATTTGCAAGTTTCAGTTGGTAGACCAAACAACAGGACCGTGTCGAGGTTTGACTGTCTTGCGGGTGGCAGGTTCGTCGGGACAGCATTGTCGGATGCTTCTGTTTGGGGGTTTCGTGGCGGCGCTTGAGTCGGGTGATGGTTTTCGGCGAAGCGTAGTGGATTTGGTGTTTGGCTGAGAACTGAATCCGCCTCCTGAAGAAACGCAAAGGATCGAGAACGGCGGTCTACGCGTGATCTTCGATTGTTGTTTGGTGTGACCTGCGGCGGTGTGGATGGCAAAATTGGAGGAACAACAGTCGAGCGGCGCCGTTTCCTGGGTGTGGAGTCGGTATTCTGCGAAGGACTTGGCAGGTCGGCATTCTAAAAGGCAAAGAAAGAGGTATAAGTTTGGATGCAAAAAGAAGAATTTGGATGTATTGACAACGCATGAGGTTAGGTGTCTGTGTAAATCTATATACATGTGAATTTTACAACCAAGAGTAACGGCCAACTGAAAAAAAAAACCACAATAAATGCAAGCAAGTGTGAGCAAGCATTTATTGAGTCGGCCATGAGTTCAAAGCAATAACTGAGAAGTTGTAAGAATTTTCCAAAGAGTAATTGCAAGTTGTAATGCTGCTATTGAATGCTTACCATTGTTGGCAGAAGCTAACTGGAATGTTTAAGTTTAATCTGGGCTGTCACAATGCTGAAGAAAAAATGTAAGCAAAGGTGGAAGTGTTGGTTGGAGTAAGGCAACAATGGAGAGTAATTGTCTGTAGAGGAACGTTAGGATCAGTGAAGGTGAGTCTAAGTCCAGCGTGGGCATGGAAGTCAAATGGTAACCCAAGCAGGTGTAGAAATACCATTTTGGTGAAAAGTTTGGTCTGAGTTTGGGAACCATAGTTAGTGGTAACATGTAAAGAAAGGAATTTTTCGTTTTCTCTGTCAGTTAAGGTATGCTTAGCTATGCATGTGTGTTGATAAGACACAACAGTAATCACCTGTCAGAACATTGCTGTTATGATGGGGAAACATTTAATGCAAGCATGGTAAGAAGTTCTGTGAGTGTGAGGAAACAAAATCCAGCGGACAAAAGATGGAGAGTGGTTCTTTGTAGTGTTACTTATGAAACACATATAGATATCTCCCGTATTTTATTATTTATCTTTTTACTTAATTGAGTTTTTGGTTCTTGAATGGAAGGACGTCTAGAGTTGTTAGTAACACTACAATTACATTTGGCCAGTAGATACAATCATACGTGCATTTTGTCTTCCAACTTCGAGATTGGTCAGAGTTAAAAATCAGGAAGGATACAGGTAGGCTTGTTGTGTTGTCCTGGGAAAAGGTAAAAGTGGGAACAAAAAAATATATATATATAAGCATCACAGATGGAAGGGAATGATCAGTTAAATGTTTTGGAAGGAAATATACCGAACACATAGCAAGTACACGCATAACAGTTTGCATACAGAGGCACTCATGGCCAGACGCAACTGCAATTTTAGTGGCCACAGAAGGGCCCAAAAGCAGCGTGCAAATCAGTTCATAACAGCATCCTGGAATAGGTAAAAAGGGCAGCTCAGCGTAAGCAAGGCTGAGGACAGGCAGGAGGTTTCAAAAGTGCATGTATTGTGCACAGCGGGCATGACTGCGAAGCAAAAGAAGCCGCATTTCGTTTAGTCTTTGAACAGGCTGCGCTTCGCTGTTTGTTTCGGAGTCTTCCCAGAGGATGCATTTCCAGTCTTGGCAGGAGCTGATGATGCAGCAGCATCGAGTGCCTTTTGTGAAGGCTTCCTGGCACGCTTAGATGTGGAAAGGCTTTCCGGTTCTCCTTCTAAGGCAGTAGTCTCTGGAGAGAGTGGAGTCGAAGTTGGAAGAAGAGTTTCGGCAGCCTTCTTTGACTTAATCTGGCGGCGTCCCTTTTGTGTCGATTGTTGCTTTGCTGGTGGCGAGACTGCAGGGAGTTCGGTGGATG